TAGGGGGCAGCAGAGAGCAGGACCACTGGCTCCCCTGGCCTCTTGGAGAGCAGTTCCTGTCCCCACCACCAGCTTGTGGGAGGGCTTCCCGTGGTCCCCAGATCCCGTATTCCCCCCCAGAAACGCTTCCGGGAGCATCCAACCTGAAACCTCCCAGGGTCCCTTTTTTTTTTTTTGGTCAGCTGTGGGGCTTGAACTCAGGGCCTGGGCACTGTCCCAGAGCTCTTTTGCTCAAGGCTAGAGCTCTACCACTTGGAGCCACAGCTCCACTTCTGGTTTTCTGGTGGTTCATTGGAGATATGAGTCTTGCTGACTTTCTTGCCTGGGCTGGTTTTGAACCGTGATCCTCAGATGTCAGCCTCCTGAGTAGCTAGGATCACAGGCGTGAGCCACTGCCCAGCTTCCCCCCTGTCCTTTAACGCAGGGTCTCCATGCCTCCTTACATTTTGCCCACCTCCCCATCCATGGCCCTCCACCAGCCCCTGCTCACAGCTGGCCAAGGCACAGGCATGGACATGGCCTCTGGCTTGGAGCCCAACTCTGGAACTGTCTCGTGAACTCTGAGCATTGTGTTCTCTGTGAGATAGGACGCTGCCATCTGACCCAGTGTGAGTCAGCTGACATGAGCACACTTGATTGACAGCTTGCCAATCACTGGCTTTCGGTAACCGCGCGTCCCTCATCCCCACTCTCCCTCCACGCACGCGCAGGTCATTATGGAAGCCTGGGTGAAAGGCGTGAACCCCAAAGGTAACTCCACCAACCCCAGCAACTGGGACTTCGGCAGCAGCTTCTTCTTTGCGGGCACAGTGGTCACCACCATAGGTAAAGGGCATGGGGCATAGGATGGGCTCGGGACCCTGTCTTGGCCTGGGCTGGGGAAGACCAGCACCAAAACAAAGCATGGGGCTGATTTAGAAGCTGGTGTGGGGGACGTGGGCAGGAAAGTGAGCCAGAGAGATGGGAGACAAAAGAAGGCAATCCAGGTGGATTGGGCAGGTTGCTGGGGTGGGTGGGCTTACCTGGCTTGGGGCATCTAGGGCACTGGGCAGAGGTCACCTCAAAGCAGCCCTGGGGCCAGGCACCCATGGCTCACGCCTGTAACCCTAGCTACCCAGGAGGCTGAGATCTGAAGATCAAGGTTCAAAGCCAGCCTGGGCAGGAAAAGTCCATGAGACTCTTCTCTCTAATAAACCACCAGAAAACTGGAAGTGGCGCTGTGGCTCAAGTGGTAGAGCGCTCGCCTTGAGCTGAAGAGCTGAGGGACAGAGCCCAGGGCCAGAGTTCAAGCCCCACAACCAACAAAAAAAAAAAAAAAGCCCTGGGAAGGGCTGAGCCTGCAGGCCAAACCCACTTTGGGGGGAGCTTCTGGAAAGACTTGAGACAGGGGTCATGTGTGCATGGTGACCACCAACCACAGTTGTTGGTGACTCCCCTCCCCCCCCCAGCATTGCAAGGGGCCCAGGTGCTGCAGAGGTGGGAGGGGCAGGGAGGGACACAAGGAGAGGGAGTTCCTCCCCTCCCTGACATGCGCACACTCCACCGCCCACAGGGTACGGGAACCTGGCACCCAGCACGGAAGCAGGGCAGATCTTCTGCGTCTTCTATGCCCTGGTGGGCATCCCTCTCAACGTGATCTTCCTCAACCACCTGGGCACGGGGCTGCGTGCCCACCTGGCCACCCTGGAGCGGTGGGAGGACCAACCCAGACGCTCCCAGGTAGGGGCCTCGCCCCCCTGCAGGCCCACCATGACAGAGGGACTGTAGATGCCCAGACGGACTGGGTGTGCGGAGGTGAGGATAGGCACCCATGGGAGAGAAGAGGCCGCCACGGGGACCCAGCGGGAGGGAGGAGTTGGGTTCATGACACAGGCTGGACACGGAAGGGCCTCGGAATGCTCAGAGCACATACACGCACTGGAGTCAAGACACAAAGGACCGGAAAAGCCCGGCACTGGGCATGCCCAGGGAAGGCTGGGCCCGTGGACTGGGTGGCTCTGCAGCTGACTGAAGTAGGCCATGAGAGAGCTGACCGCTGGCCAGTGGTTCTCTCATGAGGAATCCGGACAGTGTATCTCTGTGGTCAATACAGAACAACAGAGCCCTTTCATAAGGAAAAAACAGACTCCAGCCAGGTGCCAGTGGCTCACACCTGTAATCCTAGTGACTCATGAGGCTGAGATCTGAAGATCCCAGGCCAAAGCCAGCTGGGGCAGGAAAGTATGTGAGACTCTATCTCCACGTAACTACCAGGAAGTAGAGCTATGGCTCAATGTGGTAGAACACTAGCCTTAAGCAAAAGAGCTCAGGAATAGCACCCAGGCCCTGAGTTCAACTGACAGGCAAAAAAAAAAAAAAAAAAAAGGCACCATAGCAACTGGGTGCTAGTGGCTCACACCTATAATCCTAGCTACTCAGGAGGCTGAGATCTGAGGATTGCGGTTCAAAGCCAGCCTGGGCAGGAAAGTCCATGAGACTCAGAGATCCAGTAAACCACCAGAAAACCGGAAGTGGTGCTATATGGCTCAAGTGGTAGCGTACTCACCTTGAGCTGAAGAGCTCAGGGACAGCGCCCAGGCCCAGAGTTCAAGCCCTGAGACTGATAAGGGGGGTGGGGGGGGGATGCTGAGATCTGGGACAGTGCCAAGTCCCCAGGGAGCCTCCTCAAGGGAATTGACCTTCTAAGGCACTCTTCTCTTTGGGCTGACAGGACCCACAGGCACAGACAAGGCCTGCAAGGTGGGCGGGGTCCTAGGACTGGTCCAGCCCCCTCCCCCTCAAGTTTCCCTAGCCCGCCTCCCCAGCCCATCCCTATCATCCTGGGGCCTTCCAGGTAGACTCAGGGCCATCCCCATACCCTCCCCCCCACCCGTCCCCCCCAGCTCCTGCAGGTGCTGGGACTGGCTGTGTTCTTGACCTTGGGGACACTGGCCATCCTCATCCTCCCACCTGCGCTCTTCAGCCACGTGGAGGGCTGGAGCTTCCGAGAGGGCCTCTACTTCGCCTTCATCACGCTGAGCACCATAGGCTTCGGGGACTACGTTGTGGGTGAGGATGAGATAGGGGGTATCTGGGGGTGCAGGGAGACCCACTGGGACTTGGGGGAGGGGAGATATCAGGGGTTGTCAGCCATAACCTTCGAAGTCCCCGCCTGGAGTCCACTCCCCGGAAGTCATCGCTGATCCTCGTAATGAGGACCAGGGAGGGAACACCGTGGTGGGCAGAGGTCCCTGCAGGATGGGGAGGTGGCCAGGCCCTCAGCCGCCTGCTGTCCCCTTCCCCGGCAGGCACAGACCCCAGCAAGCATTACCTCTCGGTCTACCGGAGCCTGGCGGCTGTCTGGATCCTCCTGGGACTGGCGTGGCTGGCGCTGGTGCTCTCGCTCGGCCCACTGCTTCTGCACAGGTGTTCCCAGCTGTGGACCTTCTCCAGGGGCCTTGGCTTCAAGGACGGAGCAGCGCCTGACCCTGAGAGCCCCCCCAGACCTCAGAAGATCCCCATCTCAGACTGAGGCCCCTGAGTGGTCCAGCCGTCCCCCAGCCCCTCTCCCCTGTCCAGACACGCTTCAGAGTCCCTCACCCGCCTCCTCCTCCCCACACCTGAAGAGGATTAGGTCAAAGTGGGGAGGGGAAAGGAAGAGGCAGGACCAAAGATGCCTGTGGATGGAGCCATGCGACATGGCAGAGTCCCTACCCCCCGAAAAGGGACAGGAAAAGCCAAACCCAGCATGGACCATATGATCAGAGATCTCCTCGCACCGCACCCCCAGGAGACCTGGGACACACAGCAAGCAAGGTGACTTGCTTCTCAGCTCATCTGATAGATTTGCGATGTGCCCCCACCATGCCAGGCACCATGCCAGGCCCTAGAGATGGAACAGTCCACATTCGTGCTGTGCTGTTGGCCTAGCGGAGAATCAGTCATGGAAAATCAACCCCCAACCATGATGAGCACAGGGCACAGCCAGGGGCAGAGAGGGCACTGGGCAGTCATTTCAGAACAACTTTTGTATAGACAAGAAGCTCCGTGCCCCCATGAAGCTCACAGCTAAGGGGCAAGGAAAGCTGCCAGCTCCCCTGGCCCAGAGGCCCAAGAGCTGACCTTGAACAAGGCTTAGGGCCCTTGGGGTGTCCTGCTACTTTTAAGACTCTGGACCTCATCCCGTCACTGTGGGCTCCTCCCTACGAAGCCAGAGGGCCAGCAGATCCCAAACGCCTTGCTGGAAATGAGCTGCGGGAACTCACTCTCCACGCTGCAAAGTCAAAAGCCAGCAGAACTTGTGGGTCCATCACAGCACCTGTCCTTACCCAGGACCAGAAGCGCAGGCCCTTAACTCTCCCATCACCCCGTGCCACGCTGCGAACTCTGGATGGCACCAACCTGGGGTGGAGGAGCTCGGGGCCAGGAGCTAAGAAAGGCCCACAGCAGGGAGGGTCGTGGGCCTTGCTGCTGCCCAAGAGAAGACCGGGGTACAGAGAGCTCCACGTACTCTTCACACGGCCTGTGCCCCTCTTCTGACCGGGTGGAGGAGGAACACAGGGACAGGAAGGGACAGGCACCACCTCCAGGTCCTCTCTCCCGTCGAGCTCACGGTGGGGAGCTGCTGACCCCGGGGGGAGAGGCAGCAGGTCCGAGGACTTAGGCTGAGCCTCAAGACAATAAACTTGGCCCCTGCTTTCTCTTCCTCCGTGCGGTTTCCAGGCCCCCCCTCCCCCCCCCCCCCCGGCTGTGGGAAATGCTGGGACTGCACCCTGGGCCCTCCCCCTCTCCTGCCCGTGGCCACCCGGGCTGTCCCCTCCCTCTCCCTGTCCTGGGCGTGGGGGTGGACGCTTCCCAGCGAGGCGGGGCCGCTGCCCTGGCTCAAGGCCTCTCCTTGTCCCCAGGATTGGATCCGGGCCGCATGGGCTGGACGGGCGCACCCCACAGCACACCCTTGACCGGCAGGCGTGGGGCTTAAAGAAGGGGTGGGCCGGCTGCTGGGCCTTCCTTTCTGCCTGGCCTGGCCCCTGGACTCTTCAGCATGTGCCGGCTGGGAGGGCGCGTGGGGCCCCACTGCCGGGCCCGGGGCTGCCGGCTGCGAGGCACGGGGCTGCTGCTGCTCGCCTACCTGGCTTACCTGGTGCTGGGCACCTGCGTGTTCTGGGCACTGGAGGGCCGCGCCATCCAGGACTCCAGCCACAGCTTCCAGCAGGACAAGTGGCATCTCCTACAGAACTACACGTGTCTGGACAGCCCGGCGCTGGACCTGCTGATCCGGGTCAGGGGACAGCGGGGCAGGGGCTCTCAGGGCGGGATAGTAACTTATCCAGACACATGCATGGTGCAGATATCACCAGGGCAACAGGGTGTGGGGGAGGCGGGTGGCTGCGTCCCTGGTCACCAGCCCTCGGGCCGGCCTGGTCAGCAGGGTTCGCAGATGGCCCCGGTACACACGTGGCGCTGTGTGCTGTGTCTGCGTCAGACCTGGCCTGTGGGTGATGGGGAAGGAGCACAAGAGCCTTTTCCAAAGAGAGTGTCTCCAGCAACTAGGAGCTTGGGAGGGGGGGGACCTCAGGGGGCGTGGCCAGGCCTAAGGATGCCCCAGGCCCTGGAGAGCCATACTGACCTGCAGGAGGCTGGCAGAGGCCAAGGGGAGGGAGGGGAAGAAAGGGGGGCAGACACGGGGTTCAGCCTGCTTCACTGTGAGTCTGGACATGGAGGGCTGAGCAGCCCCTGATGCCGGTCTTGGGAAGGACCGGAGGGGGGTCAGGAACGGAAGGAAGCAGGGGTGGTTGGGGCAGAGGGGGGAAGGTGGGAGGCAGGTCCTGGAGAAGGAGGGAGGAGGTCTCCTCCACCTCACGGGCCGGGTGGCTGTGTTAACTGTGTTAACTCACTTCCTGAGTCTGGTGTGGTCCCCCCAAAAGACCACAGTTCCCCTCTCCAGAAACCTCACCTGCCCTTCCCCGTGTTGGCCTCTTGGAGGAGGACAGCCTCTGGGACCCCAAAGTCTCCCGCCAGGGCGGGGGACAGAAGGTAACAGGAAATTGTGTGGGAGTGGCAAGAGCCCCGGCTCTAAGTGGATGGAAAGGTTTCCCAGAGCTCCAAGCCAGGCCTTCCACCCTGTGCCTTCTGCCCCAGCCCCTGCACACCCCACCCCAGCTCACCTCCCCCCTCCTCGGCCACAGCCATCCTCAGGAGGAAGGATGTGCTGCCCAGACTCTCTCTCTCTCTGTCTGGACCTCATTCAGGTTCATAGTCAAGAGCAAGTCTCCCTGCTCCTGGCTAGGCTCCTCCCCCTCTTCTAAATCTCTCACCACCACCACCCCCACTTTCATAAACCTCACGGTTCCTGGGTCCTTGCTGCCCACACAAGATAGGGATCTGTCCTCTGGGTCCTCCTGAACTCAAGGCCATGTTGGGATGCAGGCCACACCCCTCTGTCACAGACCCCGCCCCCTCCATTGCATGCCACACCGGCCATCATAGGCTGCATTCCATCTCAGGCCACGCCCCTCTGCCACAGACCATACCCCTTCCATCACAGACCACACCCCCTACATTGAATGACATGCCCTCCATCATAGGCTGTATTCCCCATCACGGAGCAGGCCACGCCCCCGGCACAGGCCAGACCCCTCCCATGCGCACCCCTGTGCCAGCCCTGCCCTCCCAGCCACCCCCTCTTGCATCCTGCCACCACTGTGCCCCAAGCCAGGGCTGCCACCCCATCTCTGGTATGATGACACAGCCTGGCCCAGCTTCCTCTCAAGCTCCCCATACTAGGTCTCAGACACCCACTCACCTCCCAACCTCTGCCTTTCTGTCCATCCGCCTAAATGTCCCACCAGCCCCAGTCCTGTCTGACTCAGATTCTGTTAGGAAAGCCCCATTAAAACAGCACCTCCAGCTAGGTGCCAGTGGCAACTCACGCCTGTAATCCTAGCTACTCAGGAGGCTGAGATCTGAGTATCGTGATTCAAAGCCAGACAAGAAAGTCCTGAGACTCTTATTTCCAGTTAGCCACCAGAAAACCAGAAGTGGTGTTATGGCTCAAGTGGTAGAGCTCTAGCCTTGAGCTGAAGAGCTCAGGACAGCGCCCAGGCCCAGAGTTCAGGCCCCACGACTCGACACCCCCCCCCAAAAAAAAGCAGCACCTCATCTAGGCACCAGTGGCTCCTGCAGAATCCTAACCACTTCTGAAGTTGAGATCTGAGGACCACGGTTCAAAACCACCCTGGGCAGATAAATCCAAGAGACACTTATCTCCAATGAACCAGCAAAAAGCTAGATGTTGGAGCTGTGGCTCAAGGGGTAGAACATCAGCCTACCAAGAATGAGAGGCCCTGAGTTCAAGCCCCGGTACCAACACACACACACACACACACACACACACACACACACACACGCTACACAAAAATCACCTCCTCTACGAAGCTTTCCAGTCTTGCCCTCATTAGAATGAACACGTTTCTTCTCTGTGTTCCTATAGTGTAATATTCCCAGTACGTAATGCTAATGCCCAATTGGTATGCCCACCCCAATACCTCCTGGGGAAACCAAGGCACAGAGAAGCTGATTTCACAGCCTAGGATGGCACAGCTGTGCCGCCACCTTAATTGCCAAAACAGTTGCCAAAATAGCGGTGACTGCCTGTGCGGCCATATCAGAGTTAATTCCCTCCACCTCCGTCCCCTGAAGGCCAGGTGGGATGATTGTACTCTGATGCAGTGTAGGGGGGTGGGCCCGGAGTCTGGCGGTCATCACAGCCTCTCTTCCAGGACATCATCCGAGCATACAAAGCGGGGGCCCACCTCCTGGGCAACACCACCAGCATGGGGCGCTGGGAGTTCATGGGGTCCTTCTTCTTCTCTGTATCCACCATCACCACCATCGGTAAGGACACCGTGGGGCTGGGGAGGGTGGGCGAGGTTGGGGAGGCCGGCCTCTTCCTGGGGTGCAGCATGGCTCTGCTCCAGCCTCAGGGTATCCCTGACTCTACATTTCACCCCGATCCCCAGGGGGCTGTGCGGCTGAAGGGGTCAGGACAGATGCTTCTGGGTACCATCACGGTGTCCGGGGCTCCTGGGCTGAGTCCAGGCAGCAAGGAGTCCCGGAGATGGAGGCAGGGCTGGAGGAAGGCTGGCAAAGAGAGAAGGAGTGAGCTAGGTGCTGGTGGCTCACACCTGTCATCCTAGCTACTCAGGAGGCTGAGATCGGAGGATCACGGTTCAAAGCCAGCCGAGGCAGGAAGGTCCGTGAGACTCTTACCTCCAATGAACCACCAGAAAACTGGAAGTGGCTCTGCTTGAGCTGAAGAGCTCAGGGACAGTGCCCAGGCCCAGAGTTCAAGCCCCACGACCAACAGAGAGGGGAAGGGGGGTAGGAGGAAGGGAGAGGGAGAAAGAAGGAACTAAAATGCAAAGGAGGAGCCTTGAACCCCCAGAGCTCGGCCCAGGGAGGTGGCCAGGCCAGGTTCCCCTCCCTGCCCCCCAGCCCTCTGCACAGGTGCCCCCTGCTCCTTCCTGGGCCTTTCCTGCCCTCCACACCTGCACAGGTGAGGCTGAAGGCGGCCTGGGCCTCCTGGGGGCTGTTTGGGAAAAGCAGAGTTGGGAGCTGAGACTCCCAGGGCCGGGGAGCTCAGCCCAGCCCGGAATCCCTGCGTGGCCCGGACCCACCACCAGGTGGCAGTCTCCCCCCACCGCAGCCCCTGTGTCAGCTCCCGTTCCTGGCCAGCCAGCGGGCCTCGGCCCCGCTGCCACCTCCCTCGCTGGCCTGGGACCCGCCGCTACTTCTGGGAAGTGGGTTGGTGAGAGCATACTTGGAGTGGGACCTCAGCTCCTTGCACCCCAAGCTCGGGAGGGGGGAGCAGAGAGGACTAGCGGGGTGGGGTTACCTCACCTTCCCAGGCCTGGCATGGTCACTCCCTCCCTCCCTCTCTCCTTACCATCACCCAGCCTGGGCTGATGGAGATACGACAGAGAAACTGAGGCACGGGGGAATGGTGCCGCTTCCCTACACACACGCCCCAGGATCACAAAGCCAGTGAGCAGCATTACTAGGGCTGGAAGTTGAACCCAATGGGAGGCTGCACTACTCTGTCCAGTAGCTTGTGTTAAGGGTGCATGGATGGGGTGGTAAGCAGGGAAGGGGGGGAGGAGGTGGGAGGGGGGAGTGGAGGAGGGAGGGGGGACTCTGGCGGGCACACAGCCACTGGGGCCGGCCTGAGCCCAGCTCTGCCCGGTGTGGGCCTGACTGTGTGCTTGAGGTAAGCTAGAGGAGCAAGTCCCCATTCTCGGAGAGCTGATATTCCAGTGTGAGTGGACACCCAATAGACAGGTGCACAGCCAGGCACAGTGGCTCAGGCCTGTAATCCCAGCCGCTTGGGAGTTGGAGATTTGAAGGATAGTGGTTCTGGGCCATCGAAGACAAAAAGTTTACATGCCTTTTCTCAAGACAGAAACCAGGTTTGGGAGGACGTGCTATGCCAGAAAGTGTAAATAAATGGATTGGTGTCTAGGGCAGCCAGCCTGGGCAAAAAACAAAAACAAACAAACACATGATCCTATCTCAAAAATAATGATAGGAGCCAGGTGCCGGTGGCTCACGCAACTGAGATCTGAGGATTGCAGTTCAAAGCCAGCCTGGGCAGGAAAGTCCATGAGACTTATCTCCAATTACCCACCAGAAGACCAGAAGTGGCGCTGTGGCTCAAGTGGTAGACCGCTTACATTGAGCTGAAGAGCTGAGGGACAGCGCCCAGGCCCAGAGTTCAAGCCCATAACTGACAAAATAATAAAAATAATTTTAAATAATGTTAGGGAAAAAAGGCTGGAGGTGTAACTCAAGTGGTAGAGGACCTGCCTAGCAAGTATGAAGCCCCAGTTTCAAACCTCAGTACCATAGAAAGAAAAAAGCGGCTGGGTGACGGTGTCTCACGCCTGTAATCCTAGCTACTCAGGGGGCTGAGATCTGAGGATCGAGGTTCAAAGCCAGCCCGAGCAGGAAAGTCTATGAGACTCTTATCTCCAATAAACCACCAGAAAACCGCAAGTGGCGCTGTGGCTCAATAGTAAGAGTTAGCCTTGAGCTGAAGAGCTGAGGGACAGTGCCTAGGCTCAGAGTTCAAGCCCTATGACTGACCAAAAATGAAAGGAAGGAAGGAAGGAAAGAAAGAAGCCAGCCAGATGTATAAGATGGCAAAATGCACTTGAAGAACATCAGGTCAGTTGTGGGGTCCTCTAGCGGTGAGGGGCGCTGTGGACGAGTGGCCTCTGAGGACTCTGACAGAACAGCAACAGAAAGGGCAAGCTGTGCACATACCTGAGCAAGGAAGCTTTTCTAGCAAGTGCAAAGGCCCTGAGAGCAGCTGGGGAGGGCTGCATGCAGAAGAGGGCAGGCGAGCTTAGTCACAGAGCACATCCTGAAAGGGTCCAGACAAGCGAAGAGGTGGCGGAGGATGTGGAGGGGAGGGGAGGGGAGGGGAGGAGAAGGGAGGGGAGGGAGGGGGGAGGGGAGGCGGGGCTGTGGCCCCAGCATTCCACGGGCAGGGGAAGGCTTCATGGAGGCCCGGATGTTGCTGAGCCAGGGGAAGAGCATGCAGGATGGCCAAGAGAAAGACACCCCATTGAGCAGCCTGTGAAAGCCGCAGCCTCCAGATGGAAAGAGCCTCTGGGACCCACAGCTGAGGGCGGAGGTCAGAGTGGAGGCAGGCAGGGGAGGGTGGGTACTGAAGGCCACCAGCAAGGAGAATGCCTTCTGTGTGTGTGTGTAGTGGACCTTGAACTCAGGACCTCACTCTGGCTTGGCTTTTCCTCTCAAGGCTGGTGCTCTACAATTTGAGCCACACCTTACCTTCTGGCTTTTTGCTGGCTAATTGGAGATAAGAGTCTCACAGGTTTGTCTGCCCAGGCTGGCCTCCAACCACAGTCCTCCGATCTCAGCCTCTGGAATAGCTGGGATCACAGGTGTGAGCAACCAGTAGGGGTTGAAGTGAGCCGGATTGGGGGGGGGGAAGGGGTGTTGCTCAGGGAGAGGCCTGGTCAGTGACCATCCCTCATCCATCTGTCCATCTGGCTCCTATGTGTACTTTTTTTTTTTTTTCAGGTAAGGGGTAGGTTTATTCAGTAGACCTGCTGGACCAGCAAGGTTGGCACTCCACGTGGCTGGGAAAGGCCTGGGAAAGAGAGAGAGGAAAGAGCTAGAGCAGAGAGAAAACAGAGGGAGCTAGAAAAGAACAGTGAGGGAGATAGGTAGCAGAGAGCTAGAATAGAGCAGTGAGGGAGATAGGTAGCTAGAATAGAGCAGTGGGAGAGCAGAGAGCTAGAAATGAACAGAGAGAGAGTAGAAACAGAGAGCTCCTATGTGTACTTTAATGTACTATCACCTGTCTCACTCTGGGGGTATCAACACCCCCACGTTACCCATGAGGAAGGTGGGATCAAAGGGGAGCTGGGGGGCAAACCCATGCTCTTCACCTCTCCGGGGATCCCTGAGGTGGGGTGCTGGCACCCACAGCTTCGAGGCAGTTCAGGTGAGGGTAGGAAGCTGGGGTCTGGCTGCCGGGCCATGAGTGCGGGAGCACTGTTCGAGTTCCTGGGCACCCGTGTGCGTCTCCTCCTCCCGCATGCCCCAGCAGGGGCTCGGGTACCCGACCCACACCACAGGGCCGGCGCCTGCGCTCTCGCCTGTCATCCCGGCCACTCGCGAGGCTGAGATCTGAGCATCTCGGTTCAAAGCCAGCCCAGGGCAGGAAAGTCGGGGAGACTCTGATCTCCAGTGAGCCACCAAAAAGCCGGAAGTGGCACTGTGGCTCAAGTGTTAGAGCGCCAGAAAGCTCAGGGACAGGGCCCTGAGTTCAAGGCCCGGGCCGGGGGCGCGCGCGCACACACACACACACACACACAGCAGCAGGCGGGCGAGGCGGGCACGTAGGAGAGGCCTCACCCTGCGGATGTGAGAGGAGAGGGGAGGCAGGGTCTGCCCTCTGCCCTCTGCCCTCTGCCCTGAGCACCCCCTCTTGCCTCAGGCTACGGCAACCTGAGCCCCCAGACCATGGCCGCCCGCCTCTTCTGCGTCTTCTTCGCGCTGGTGGGGATCCCGCTCAACCTGGTGGTGCTCAACCGGCTGGGGCGCCTCATGCAGCGGGGCGTCCACCGCTGCGCCCGCCGCCTGGGGGGCCGCGGGCAGGTGAGGGCCGGGCGCGGCGCGGGGACCCCGGGCAGGACGCGGGGGGCCCGGGGCGCCCCACTCCTGACCGTGTCACCCCAGGACCCCGCCGAGGCCCGGTGGCTGGCGGGCGCGGGCGCGCTGCTGTCCGGCCTGCTGCTGTTCCTGCTGCTGCCCCCGCTGCTGTTCTCGCGCATGGAGGGCTGGAGCTACCTGGAGAGCTTCTACTTCGCCTTCGTCACGCTCAGCACCGTGGGCTTCGGCGACTACGTGATTGGTGAGCGCCTGGCAGGGGGCGGGGCCAGCTGTCAGGGGCGGGGCCAGCTGGCAGGGGTGGAGCTAGCTGGAAGGGGCGGAGCCAGATGGCAGGGGCGGGGCCAGCTGGCAGGGGCGGGGCCAGCTGGCAGGGGCGGGGCCAGCTGGCAGGGGCGGAGCCAGATGGCAGGGGCGGAGCCCCTTCGTCACGCTCAGCACGGTGGGCTTCGGCGACTACGTGATTGGTGAGCGCCTGGCAGGGGGCGGGACCAGCTAGTGGGGCGGAGCCAGCTGGCAGGGGCGGGGCCAGCTGTCTAGGGCGGGGCCAGCTGACAGGGATGGGGCCAGCTGGCAGGGTCGGGGCCAGCTCGCAGGGGCGGGGCCAGTTATTAGGGGCGGAGCCAGCTGACAGGGGCGGGGCCAGCTGGCAGGGGTGGGGCTAGCTGGCAGGGGCGGAGCCAGCTGGCAGGGGCGGGGCCAGCTGACAGGGATGAGGCCAGCTGGCAGGGGCGGGGCCTCAAGGTTCTCATGGGAGCAGAGGTCACTCCTCCCCTCCCCCAGAGGTCACATACGCGCGCGCACGCACGCACACACACACACACACACACACACACACACACACACACACACACACACACACACACACACACACACACACACACACACACACACACACACACACACACACAGAGGCTGGCCTGCAGGCGGTGAAGAGAGAGTCTGCCACACCTTCCCTCAGCCAGAGGCCCAGCCTGGATTGTTTCATTGGTAGGTAGTAGGGCTTGAACTCTGGGCTTGGGCGCTGTCCCTGAGCTCTTCAGCTCAAGGCGAGCGCCCTACCACGTTGACCCACAGCACCACTTCCTGTTTTCTGGTGGTTTATTGGAGATAAGAGTCTCATGGACTTTCCTGCCCAGGCTGGCTTTGAACCTCGATCCTCAGATCTCAGCCTCCTGAGTAGCGAGGATTACAGGCATGAGCCACCAGTGCCTGGCTCTCAGCCTGGATTGTTTGAAACATTTTTTGTTGTTGTTGGTCATGGGGCCTGAACTCTGGGCCTGGGCGCTGTCCCTGCGCTCTTCAGCTCAAGGTGAGTGTTCTACCGCTTGAGCCACAGCGCCACTTCCGGTTTTCTAATGGTTTATTGGAGTTAAGAGTCTCACGGACTTTCCTGCTGGGGCTGGCTTTAAACCTTGATCCTCAGATCTCAGTCTCCTGAGTAGCTAAGATTACAGGCATGAGCCACCAGCGCCCAGAGTAGCCTGGATTGTTCTTTTTTTTGGGGGGGGGTCCAGTCATGGGGCCTGAACTCTGGGCCTGGGCACTGTCCCTCAGCTCTTCAGCTCAAGGCTAGCGCTCTACCGCTTGAGCCACAGCGCCACTTCCGGCTTTTTTCTTTTTGCTTATGTGGTGCTGAGGAATCGAACCCAGGGCCTCATGCATGCAAGCCAAGCGCTCTACCACTGAGCCACCTTCCCAGCCCTATCCTGGATTGGTGAGATGAGGTTTTAGCAAGGTGACCAGCCAGCAACTCGGCCGGCAACCAAAGGGACGGTCATGACTCCCGTTTCACCAAGTAGGCAGTGGACGTGGGAGAAGCCACACCACCGGCTGAGGTTGCACCGTGAGATGCGCATGAAGAGTTCGTTTGGAGCTGGAGCTCATCATCTCTTCCAAGAGGCCAGGCTGCCCCTTGAGTCCCTTCCTACCCTCAGGTGGCCGCTTCATCTGCAGAAGGGAGGGGAAACTGAGGCCCAGGGTGGAGCAGAGTCGGTGAAGGCTTTAGAGCAGCAGGCAAGGCTACAATCAATTCCCGGGGCAGAAATCCTCACCCACATCTGTTCTGGAATCTTCCACACCTTCTTCCCCAAAACCTCAGCTTCCCCAAGGGACAAGCCAACCCCTTTCTCTGATGGGAATGTGGAGGCCCACCACCTGGATGCCAACTCTTCCTGAGTCACCACGGCAGGGGCCAGAGTGCCCTGCATCCCCCTCCCTCTCCCCCACCCCCACGTCCCTCACCTGAGCACACACACAATTACATTTGCAGCTCAGCCGAGCGCTCTGCCAGCTGCCAGCTGCCAGCTCCCCAGCCCTTACGATTTGGGCCGCACAATGAAATAACTGGGGAGAAAAGGCTTTGCCCCTGCTCGGCGATCTCATTTGATCTTATTTGGGACCCGAGCGGAACCCAGCCTGTAACTCACCCAGCCTATAACTCAATCATCCTAACGCAATCACTGCCGGCACCGCTCTGCGCCTGGGCCACAACATAGCAGGACGGGGGTGGGGGGGGGTGGGGGGGTGGGGGGGGGTGGGGGGGGGGGGAGGGACAGGAAACAGGGCAGGGTCTGAGCCAACCAAGGTGGACACAACTCAGACGGCTCTGCTTCCCTGGCAATCTGCCCTTTTCAGACTTAGAAGCCCAGACACAGACCAGTGGGCGGCTGAGCCAGTGTAGCGCTCTTGGTGGCTGTTAAAGTATAGAGGCTCCGTCAGACACTGGTGGCTCACGCCTGTAAACCAGCTACTCAGGAGGCTGAGATCTGAGGATCATAGTTTGAAACCAGCCCAGGCAGGAAAATCCAAGAGACTCTTATCTCTAATTAAGCATCAAAAAAGCCAGAAGTGGAGCTGAAGCTCAAGTGGTAGAATGCTAGCCTTGAGCACAGAGAGGTTCAGGGATAGAGCTCAGGCCCTGAGTTCAAGCACCAGGAGCCCAGTACCAGCACATATTAAAAAAGACACACATACTCAGGAGACTGAGATCTGAGGATCACAGTTCAAAAGCCAGCCCAGGCAGGAAAGTCCATGAGACTCTTATCTCCAATAAACTACTAGAAAACTGGAAGTGGCACTGTGGCTCAAGCAGTAGAGCGCTCGCCTTGAGCTGAAGAGTGCAAGGACGGCACCCAGGCCCAGAGTTCAAGCCCGACGACCAACAAAACACAGAGAGAGTGAGAGCGAGAGCGAGAGTGTGTGTGTGTGTGTGAGAGAGAGAGAAAGAGAGAGAGAGAGAGAGAGAGAGAGAGAGAGCCTCACGCCTATAATCCTAGCTACTCAGGAGGCTGAGATCTGAGGATCGCTGTTCAAAGCCAGCCCAGGCAGGAAAGTCTGTGAGACTCTTATCTCCAATGAACCACTTGAGCTGAAGAGCTGAGGGACAGCACCCAGACCCTGAGCTCAAGCCCCACAACCTACCAAAAAAAAAAAAAAAACCAGCAAGAACAGAGGCCCTGACCAGGCAGTGGAGAAAGCCCTGGTCTGGGACCCACACTTGAAAACCACGTGAGTAGGGCAGACACACTCCTCAGACACAGCCCACCGCCTCAATCCTGGCAGGCCTCCTGGACCCCCGGGGGTCCACTGGGCTAGGAATCCTCCGGGGTCCGGCTTGTGTCTGGGGACAGGGTCCTGACCCCCCGGCCTTGCCCCAGGGATGGACCCCTCCCGTCGATACCCGTTGTGGTACAAGAACGTCGTGTCGCTGTGGATCCTATTCGGCATGGCGTGGCTGGCTCTCATCATCAAGCTGATCCTGTCCCTGCTGGAGACCCCGGGCAAGGAATGCTCCTGTTTCCACCACAGCCCCAACGGGGCCCCCAGCTCCCCAAGCTGGAGGCAGGGCCCAGAGAGGGCGCCGCGGCCCCACTGTGCACAGCTAGGCTGCTACCCGGAGGGGTCTGGGGGAGTCACACAGCGTCTGGAACCTTCCGCTCAGGTTGCACGCTGTGGCACAGACAGCTGAGGGCAAGGGACCCATCCAGACGCTTATTTTCTGCCTCACCCTTTGCAGACGTGCAACTTAATGATTTAACTCCCACCCCATGCATGCAGAGGCATGCATATCCCACGTGACTCATGAGATTGAGACTTTGGGGGATGGAGCATGCCCTTCCTTCTTCCCCTATGTCCTTCCTCTAACTGCAATGCCAGCATGATGACTGGAGCTCCAGCAGCCATATTGTGCCATGAGGTAGACACCAGGCCTGAGATTTGTGCTACAGTAACAGGTAGAGCCCACACTTCCAATGACCCCAGAGCCATCCTGGATCCCATGTGACTTCCTTTATGTAAGAGACAAATAAATGCCTTACTGAAGACTATTCTTTGGGTGTTTCTGTCACTCACAGCTTAACCCAATTGTGATACACACACTCAGAGACAAAGGCAGCACCCCAGGACTGGAGCCTACTTGGAGAGAAGCCACCCTCTGGTCAGGTGAGTTTGCCCAGAGTGGACAGAGGGCTAGCAGCCCCCACTCCTCTCCTGCATGCAGGCACCAATCCTGTGCTGGGAGCTGCAGACTCTGCCGTTCTCCGCGGCTCAGGGGTACCCGATGCCGTACACGCACACCCAGCACCCCGCCCAACCAGGAGCCCGTGGGGCAGCTGGATTCTGGGCTCCAGTGGGCACCTGAGACCTCCTCTGCACACCAGGGACCCGGGACCTCCACCAAGCCACGCTGTCCCCAGCCTCGGTCTCCTGGAGCTGCATCGGGGTAGATTTTTGGCCAAGATGACAGCCAGGCCCATCATGGGTCGAGGGTCATGGGTCAAGGGTCATGGGTCATGGGTTGTGGAGTCATGGGGCCCACAGCAGAAGGGAGGAAGGTCTGCCCACTCCACAGACAGGACAGGAGAGAGGGCCTGGCCTGGGAGACCTCAGCTCTACTTCGCACCTTCATGTCTACCACTCCTAAACTAGTCTCCTGTCTCTCCCACCAAACCCTTTGGCCCCAACTTCCATGCAGGGGGCTGGGAGGGAGAGGGTGTCCATGAGATAGCTTCTGATTGGTCAGCTCCTTACCTATATCTACTCCACAGCCAATGAGAAGAATCCTTGAAACCCTGAAGTCCAAATCTAGCAGGCAGGGAGGGGCCCGTGGGGCAGGGCTTGAGTCTTTGCTCACAGAGGCCAGGAAGGAGCTGAGCAAGGAGGGGAGGGGGTGCTGGGGCGAGAGGGGGCCAGATTTGGAGCACCCCCCCCCCTCCCCTGCATCCTGGTGTGCCTCGCTCCAGCTCTGAGGTTCTCAGCCAATCACAAGGCCTGGCATGGAGCTAAAACCTCCCCGGCCTGGATGAATGCGTGTCAGGAACCGACTGTGATGCGTCATCTGGGGACCCACAATGCCTCAGAGGTCAGCCCTCTCTGGCCAGGCCCAGTACAGCCTGGGGTGGGGAGCAGAGGCTTATGGGGCGCCTCTGATGACCTCTCTCCAGCTGGCCAAGAGCGCTGGTGACAAGATGCAGGCCTGGGCCCTGCTTGGGGGCCGGGGGCGGGGAGGCCCTCGGCTGATGTCATCTCGGAAGGAGGTCTGGACACACAGACTCCCAGAGGAACCTCAGGCAGAGGCCAGGCCGCTGGCGGGGTGTGTTGGATTTCTTAGTGTGGATGGCCTGAGACCTCTGATCTTTGGCCACCAAAGCGAGATGCAGATCACACACATGCCACACTACTGCCATGAGGTCTCCCAAAACAACGCATCCCCTCCCTCCCTCCCTCTGTCCATCCCTCCCTCCCTCCCTCCCTCCCCTCCTTCCTTCCTTCCTTCCTTCCTTCCTTCCTTCCTTCCTTCCTTCCTTCCTTCCTTCCTTCCTCCCCATCCTTGGAGATGAACGTCTCACATACTTCCCTGTCCCAGCTGGCTCAGAACTGAGATCCTCAGATCTCAGCCTCCTGAGTAGCAAGGATGACAGGTGTGAGCCACCGACGCCCGTTCCCCTATTATTCCTTAACAGTTGTAGGCTATTGATTATGTGCTGGGCATTATTCTAACCTCTTGATCCATCTAAAACTTGTCAACTTGGAGGAAAAAGAACTGTTAGAGTGTGTGTGTGTCTGTGTGTCTGTGTGTGTCTGTGTGTGTCTGTGTGTCTGTGTGTGTCTGTGTGTGTCTGTGTGTCTGTGTGTGTCTGTGTGTCTGTGTGTGTCTGTGTGTCTGTGTGTGTCTGTGTGTGTCTGTGTGTCTGTGTGTCTGTGTGTGTCTGTGTGTCTGTGTGTGTCTGTGTGTGTCTGTGTGTCTGTGTGTGTCTGTGTGTGTCTGTGTGTCTGTGTGTGTCTGTGTGTGTCTGTGTGTCTGTGTGTCTGTGTGTGTCTGTGTGTCTGTGTGTGTCTGTGTGTCTGTGTGTGTCTGTGTGTGTCTGTGTGTGTCTGTGTGTCTGTGTGTCTGTGTGTCTGTGTGTGTCTGTGTGTGTCTGTGTGTCTGTGTGTCTGTGTGTGTCTGTGTGTGTCTGTGTGTCTGTGTGTGTCTGTGTGTCTGTGTGTGTCTGTGTGTGTCTGTGTGTCTGTGTGTCTGTGTGTGTCTGTGTGTCTGTGTGTCTGTGTGTATCTGTGTGTGTCTGTGTGTCTGTGTGTCTGTGTGTGTCTGTGTGTCTGTGTGTGTCTGTGTGTGTCTGTGTGTGTCTGTGTGTCTGTGTGTCTGTGTGTGTCTGTGTGTGTCTGTGTGTCTGTGTCTGTGTGTGTCTGTGTGTCTGTGTGTGTCTGTGTGTGTCTGTGTGTCTGTGTGTGTCTGTGTGTGTCTGTGTGTCTGTGTGTCTGTGTGTGTCTGTGTGTCTGTGTGTGTCTGTGTGTCTGTGTGTGTCTGTGTGTGTCTGTGTGTATCTGTGTGTCTGTGTGTCTGTGTGTCTGTGTGTGTCTGTGTGTGTCTGTGTGTCTGTGTGTCTGTGTGTGTCTGTGTGTGTCTGTGTGTGTCTGTGTGTCTGTGTGTGTCTGTGTGTGTCTGTGTGTCTGTGTGTCTGTGTGTGTCTGTGTGTCTGTGTGTCTGTGTGTATCTGTGTGTGTCTGTGTGTCTGTGTGTCTGTGTGTGTCTGTGTGTCTGTGTGTGTCTGTGTGTCTGTGTGTGCATGCAGACGCGCATGCACTCATGGCACACACACCAGTCCTGGGGACTGAACTCAGGGCCTGGTGGCTGTCCTTTAGCATTTTTACCCAAAGCTGTCACTCTACCACTTGAGCCACAGCTCCATTTCTGGCTTTTTGGTGGTTCATTGGAGGTACATGCCTCATGGACTTTTCTGTTCTGCCTGGCTTCGAACTGTGATCCTCAGCTCTCAGCCTCCTGAGTAGCTAGGGTGTCAGCATGAGACACCCCACCTCCCCAGCACCTAGCCAAGCACTGTTATTGTTAATGAGATTTTCAGATGGGGTACAGGAGACCCTCTGTGGACGCTGGAACCTGAGGCAGCCCCCCCCCCCCCATCCCTCTGTGTGGCCTGTGCAGCTGGGAGCCTTGCAGGGCCGGGCCCATGTCAGGAGTCTCTTCCTGGAAGCTGGGCTTGGCTGTGAGCAGCAGCCGCTCCCCACTGGGTCATGTTCGTTGGCTGTGTGTTGAGTGGAGCTCCTGCTCCCGCAGCCACTGCCTGGGCCACTGCTGCTCCGGGCTGGAACTTCCCCTCTACCCTGCCCAGTCCGTGGAGACACAGAGACACAGATCTACACCGTGTTCTCCGGCCCTCAGCCCCCCGCCATGGGCTCCACGCCCACCTCCTAGCCCCTCTTCCTCACCCCATCTCCACCCTGCGCTCACAGTCCCGGAGCGCACTGCCCTGATGCTGGCCCCACTGACCAGGGCCCTCCCTCATCCACACACAGTCTGGCTGCCGGGCCTGCAGCTGCGGAGCTCCTGCCCCATCCCCAGCCAGGGCGGAGCCTCGGACTCCCCCCTCCCTGGTGATTCCTAACGTAAACCGTCCATCCTGGGGCCTCAGATCGCCCTGCCTCGCCACCCTCTGCCCTCCTCAGTACTTCCAGAAGCCCTTCAGGGCCTCCAATTCCCAGAAGCCCTCTCAGACCAGCTTGCCCTTTGACCTCTCGCTCCACCCCCACCTAGCACATCCATCATCCCAGTGTCCTGAGGCTCCGCCCTGTGTATGCTCCCCACCCAGAAGTGACCCCAGTGATTGCCTAGGCGTCACAGTGCTTGGAGAGAGCGCTCAGTACTCTGCGGTTTCATTCTCTCCAAGTTAAAGAAATAAAAAGGAGCCGGGCACCTGTGGCTCACGCCTGTCATCCTAGCTACTCAGGAGGCTGAGATCTGAGGATCATAGTTCAAAGCCAGCCTGGGCAGCCAAGTCCACGATGAGACTCTTACCTCCAATGAACCACCAGAAAACTGGAAGTGGCACTGTGGCTCAAGTGGTAGAGCACTCACCTTGAGCTGAAGAGCTCAGGGACAGCACCCAGGCCCAGAGTTCAAGCCCCACGACTGACAAAAGGAAGAAAGAAAGAAAAGAAAGGAAAGAGAAAGAAAGAAATGAAAAGACACCAGATGGACCAGGAGCACCAGCCCCGGCCACCTCCAGGAAGCCGCTTCCGGTCAGATGCCCACAAGCATCTGTACAGAACTCGGCCCCAGCCCAGCCTCACCCCTGCTGGGTGCGGTGTGGGGGTGAACGCTCCTTATCCCGGGCCTCCCCCTTCATTCCACCCCTCGCAGCCCCCCTGAAGAGCACATGGAGGGGCACACTAAGGCAAACCAGGAGCTGGGGGGGGAAGAGGGGGAGCGCGGGGGGGGAGAGGGGTCGCTGCATGGAGGTGCGGCTGGGCTGGGCGGTGGGTCTGGTTTGCTTTCCCCTGAAGCAGCACCTGGAACTGGAGGGCAAGCGGGGAGAAAGGAAAGCCAGGCAGGTAAGGACAGCTCAGGCGGCCACCAGGGGCTGCTGGGTCCATCCCACTGGGAACCCCAGGAAATCCCGGTAGAGGGTGCAATCCACTGAGGACTTCTCGTCGCCTCCTGGCTCAGGCATAATGGGTGCAGAGCAGGCCCCCTAATGTGCCAGCATGTACAGACGTCTGGGAAGACGACAGTCACCTGTGGGAAGAAGAGCTAAGGCAGGGGGAGATGATGTGTGAGTGGGCTTTGCAGGAGGAATAGGAGTTTTCCAGGGAAAAGAGGCACGTCTTGCAGATGGCAGGGGGGCAGGGAATGGTTAGATAAATGCCAAGTAAGTTCCGAGTGATTCGAATGCTGGAGCTGGTTGGGTTGCGTTGATGCTGGAGGACTGTGTGCATTTGGAAGAAGATCACAGTCAGCTGGGTGGCAATCAGGAAAGGCTGGATCAAAGTGCAAGTACTTGTGAGAGTTACTGAACCTGAATAAG